CTGGTAAGAAAGTAGATCTGCCGATGTAACTGGGTTTGGATGAAACTTTTTCGCGATCAATAATTATAACAACTGACTCGTTGTATTTAGCACCATACTTTCGAATTCCTATTTGGTCTTCCTACTTCTTTGAGCTTTTAATAAACTTTATAGCACTCTAGGCGAGTTTATAACTTGTAGATAAACCAGTGAAATTAAAGGTAACAGACTTTGCATTTTGGTGTGGAATTTAATCGCCTGTATGGTTAGATTGTAATGCTAGTGCCGGTTTGTGATGCAAAACCAAACTTTAACCCTAGTTTCCTACACTAATTTGTAACTCTGTTGACTTTAGTAAGTGAGCGGGTTTTCTCGAAGTTACTTTGGCGTCGCTCACAAGTCGTCCATCAATAATAGCCTTACGTGAAGCTATAATATATGTCCTACGCCGCACTCATTCTCTAGAAAGCCACAAAGTGCACGTTGCAATAAAATTAACTACTGAAGAACTTAATCGAAAATCTTGAAAAGTGTACTGTAAAAGTCACTTAATTTTGCGTTTTGAGAATAGAAGATCGGAGGTTATTTTTTGGTGTTAGACGACTCTGTGTTTGATTATCGTTGTCTCTGAAGGATTGCTGACATCCAGTGGCAATACTGTGTTAGTAATGCAGAGGTTCGGCATTCTGTGTTCGAGCACAGCGACGATAATTCAATTGGTATCATTATCTTAAAACATCGACTTCGGTGGCTTGAACATGTTCTACGAATGTCGTTCGAAAAAATTCTACATCGTGCATTATTTGCCGACGCTGGGACTGGTTGGAAAAAACGAAGCGGTAATTATTGTTTGACATAGTGTCGCGGTATGAACGAAAGCTGTACAGGACTGGCTTCTGTTTATCCTTCACGACTCCCTGGTTGGAATCCTAGAAATGGTACAACACAGTGGCTAGAGACGTCATCACACATGGCTCATAATGGAAGCCAGTGGCGATTCTGCTATAACTTTGTTTTACTTTCTTCATAAAAATGGACTTAACTTCTTTGAATGGAAGAATTTCTGGCTATAACTTTGCTAACTGATCTGCTTCTCTCATTATTATTATTTCACTATCATACACTAATTTCTGTTCGTTATCGTCCCCTTTTTTCTTATACACACCCTACATTTTCTACCTCTTCACATTCTCATTGTTATTGTATGGCGCATATGTATTTGGTGCTCCTTTGTACTGATATGTATGTGTTCAAAAAAATAAATAAGTACTCAAGTAAAGATTGCGAGATAACACCGTAGTACTTATAGTATTTTGCATGCCATAGTAACCAATAATGTGTAAATTACATATGAGTATAACGATCCAAATATTAAAACAACCAGTGTCGTGACAATACCAAAAAGTCACAACAATACTGTCAATCCCAACACTATGAGCGACTATTATAATTATTGGGAAAACCTAGATACCAAGCGTTTTTATTCGGAAATCTTTACCAAAAAGATTCGCTTATCTAACTGGACTACGCGGATAACGTAGTCATATTTGGTGAAGACTTCCAGAACCCAGTGTTCCAGATGCCTTAAGCCATAATGTACGCTTGATCGGATCCGTTTCTCTCCCACTAAAATGTGCTTCACGACTGATTCACGTAAGGGCCTAGAATGATCGTAAGTAGTGAATCAATCGGACATGTTGACAACTTTACTTATCTTCTAAGCTTCTTCCGCCCTCGTTAGTTAGTCTGATGATATCTCAATGCACATTCAGAAGGCGAACTTTGGTCTTAAAATTGCGTCAATTGTGGAGTGACAAAATGGCTGCTCACCAGCTAAAAGGCAATTAAATTGATTAGAAATATACTATTTGGTTGTTGAATGTGGTCCGCGAAAGTAGAAAGTCGTAGGTGCTTTTAAAGCAATGATTAGATATCATGGAACAGTTAAGTAGGCAACGCTGTAACTAAGTATAGGATTCTAAGAAGATCGGTTGGTAAGGTTAGGACTCTGTATCAATCGAGAGGGTTAGCCATGTATTAAGTATACTCAACCACTGCCTACCTAGACTCTTTGTTGAAATAAGTTAGAAAAAGGCTAGGGGTGGATAAACAGGCGGATTTTCAGTCCAAAAAGTCATTGATTGTTGGACCGAGTTGTGTTGTCGGATGAATACTTCATTGTTTAAGGTAATGAATGGCATAGCTCACAACTGGTTAGTAGTGAAGATCTAATCACTGTTCATCTTACATTCAGCCTTAAGCTCTATCTGCTTTCGAACCGTTTTCCCGACCATTGTTACTAAATCATACGGACTCGTTTTTTGTTCATTTTGTTACTTTCATCTTGCGTAACTAATGTGTATATTTATTTATTTATTTTAACACACAGATATTGGTACAAGAAGGCACCAAATACATATGCGCCACACAAATCTCATTTGATATGTGTGAGGGCTGTGGTACTGCCCGGGTGCCCGAACCGAAGCAGGTGGTTTTCTTAAGAGGCCACACCCGGAGCCTTCCACCTGAAGGTCTGACACACAAGGCAGTGGAGCATCGTAAGGAGATGCAGTCCCATGGTAGCCGGTGACCAACGATTGGTTCATACGCCATTTCTTCCTTTAGGATGCTGGAGCCCATGTGTACCAGTGGTTTAGAATCAGGGTTTTCCAACTCCCCTAGGTGGACTCTCCATGACCACCAACCCGGTTAAAGCGCCAGACATTCGCTTTTCGCCCTCTCAATTTCGTAAACAACACCCCCGCCCTGAGAAGGCAGTGAGTAGGACTTCCCTGGCAGAGGCTATATATGCATGGCCATATGAGAGCATTTCGAGAGGGAAAGCGGACTCCCCACTTTCGGCCGTACCAGGGCATTTGGGTGCGATGTGTATATCAGGTTGGGCGAAAACTAACTTATGCCAGGCTCTGTGTTGTTTATAATTTATTTGAAAATCCTGTCATCCACATCTTATAAGCGTTATGTTGCTATTATTAATCTCAAATTTTGCTACTTATATATATATAGCTTCTATGTATTCTTTATTGGTTTTTACCTTTGTACTGTCTCCATAGTACTATGTCTGGTGTGAAAGCTGCAAGGCCAATTCTGTCTAGAAATCATACAGAAGCTCGAAGGCGAGTCATTAGTTTATATCGTGCCTGGTACAGACAACTTCCTTATATACCAAAAGAATATGCTCATAGTAGCGTAGATCTCACAGTGCCTGTTTTGTATGCAAGATTAAGGGAAGAGTTCCGTAAAAATAAGGATATTAAAGATTTACGTATAATTGACTTGTTAATTCACAGAGTATGTTGAACTTCACTTTATCTAATCGTATTATTTTTAGTGGCAAAATGAACTAATTGAAGTGGCGCGTTTGTGGAAGTCTGATACGCATGTGATGGATTTCTTTAGAGAAGATCATCTCCCAGAAAAGCCGAAAGATTTCTTGGATAAATTTCTATCTGGAAAGCAGTAATATTTACGAAACTTTTGAATTGTAGAAGCTTTTGTTTATAGTGTGGTAGATAATTTTTATCTCAGAATTTTTCTACTATATGCTGAAAGTGATACGTGACAGCATGAAATAAGACTAAATATTTACCGAGGCTTTGAGCTAATACCAGTCTCAACCTGCTTATTGTAGATTTCCAGTAATAGGTCTAAAACCATTCCCAGCTTATCTTTCAGCAGCGGGTGAGCATACATAAAATTAAAGGTAATTACGTTTAGAAGGATCATTAAAAACTGTCAAACATAAAACCGCCATAATAACCAAATCGAACTACATTGACTGGAACGCTAACTATGTTATGCTCGCAAAAAGCTGGTTGGGAAGTAGTAAACGGTAATTTCCATGCATGATTACACCGTAGTACAGTAGTAGTGTCAAGGTGTTCCTCATTTCCAACGATGTTATTTTGCCATGGGCAGGTGTTAGAGAATATTGACCGTAAAAATCGCAGCCACACTTCGAAGGAAACTTAGGGGGGGGGATTCAGTGTAAATAATTCCGGGCGAGGAACAGTAGTATACCCTAACATGCTAGTAATACAAGTACTTAAGAATGTTGGTTGACGGGTTAACTGTAGTAAATCTTAAAAGTCGAGTGTAATCCTGGAAATCTAGTTTGCGTCCAGTATGTAGAAAAGACAAGAACCGTCTTGACATAGTCACAACCGGATCGATCTGATTAGCATTGGTTTTACGACCAGCGTTAATTGCTTTTCAATGTCTGAGACATGAAGAGTAAAACCAAGAAATAGCTCCCGTTGTGTTGACCAGACTCATTTGCTTCGAGAGGACAAAAGCACTTACTGATCCCTTAAGCGTAGCCAAACCTTTTAATCTTGAATTGTGTTTTGATTTGGCCAATCAATAAAGTTTAGAATTCCCACTTGGATGAATGTGGATTAGGTACATCATACTGCTGAAAGCTTCATATTCGAACACTTAAGAACGAATCAAACCAAATGGTGGATAATGTACAGTATGATTTCGCATGTCCTTCTCTACATAAGTTTTCTAAAGATATATTGTTGCTTAGCTTTTAAAAGAGTCTAGGGACATTTCTCACAGACCAAACTTAAAGAATCGTTTGGTGGTCACGTTTATGGCAATATCCATTATAACAATAAGATGTAAAGTTGCTGATCACTTTATTCAACTTGGATGTCATGCCACCTTTGATGAGTTTACAATTGACGCTATTTCAGTACGGATACAAACAATTTCTTTCTTGGTTCATGCTACCTTTATGACAAGTGAGATACGTATTTTTGTTACTGTGAGGGGAAAGTAGTGGCAATAGCAAGACAGTATTCAATGATCTAAAAGATTGAACTTTATAAAGAACGAAATATATACACCAGAACATTCATATTTTATTACACTGAGTACATATACAAAAGTAAACAGTATGGTACAAAACGGTTAAAAAAGAACTATTTTAAAAAATACACTAAAATATGTTGAACCGGGACTACAAAGCCATCCCAGTATAAAATAAACAATGCCTACTTAACAAAAGGAAACTGTATGATGTTATATAGATCTTCCACGGGATTATGATAAAATGGATCCCCGAGTAGAAGCTTATACAATCCACATAAAAGCAGTCCAAATAAAACGACACAAAGACAGATCCGTGAAGATGGTATACAAGTGGATACGGCATCTGAAAAAATAATTAAAAAAGTGGTTAGTTTGTAATACATCAATTCAACTGAATAATCGCAAATAAATTATAGATCTTGATAATTTACCTATAAAGTAAACGTCTACAAGTCATTATATGGTAAACATTATTCGTGGGCACATACTACAAGTAGTTACCGATTCCTTAACGTTTAAATGTCTTGGAGTGAGATACATGGTGTACATTCAGTCAAACATATAAGCCCAGTTTTAGCGTACAACTTATCGTGGGAATTCTTACTTGTTATAAGGATATTCAAGAAAAACACAGCGTTCCTTGTGTTTATTCAAACACCACAGAGCAGGAAGACCTACGGCTTACTTTGCTTGGGAGCTCAATTAACTATATAAATCAAGTCATACTGCCGATGCATGGATTCGTAGACAGCTAGTTTGACGCGACAACTTGGAAACCCAAATCGTGCAGATTATCTTAATAATTTGAAGAAGTTAGTTTGCCTCAATTGTACTATTTTGGAATTATCACCGTACAAAATTCATATTTAACCTCCAAAACCGATAGAGCACCTCATTAGGTGATGACCCTGTGTAAACTACTGATTCTACGCTGCTTATTTTCAAACAGAGTACGACTGTCATTTGGTAAAAATCGTTGAAGTATCATGTCAACGGAATCAACACTAAAATTCAGTATTATCTTTTGTTGGTAAATAGTTAAGATGCAGAATTTAAAACGAAAAAATCTCAATCGTAGTAATTAACAAAATAAAACCTGACCGTATGTCACATGGACGTGCCGAGCGCACTTGCCTATGATGAAGTGTTGTTTGAATAAGTGAGACAAACTGCTAAATTAAGTCGATGAGATTGTGAACTTACCCAGGTGATTGATGTTTAATATGATCATACACCTGTGACGTCGAACGTTGAGAAATAATTAAGATATGGAACATATTGGAATGAAGCACACCGCGAAATTGGATTATTCCATAATATCGCCTACTGTTTCTTTGAAGTACAATAATAAATGTAGATTTCGTAGTTAAAACTCATTAAAGAATTTCGATAGAACAATGAGAAGACGGAGTTGATCTGAAAAATGTGATGTATTTGCGCTATGCATTTCGAATAATCTGGTCACACATATACTTGTCAGAGCATTTTTATATGAAAATTAATAAAGGTCATTAAAGAATGAGAATGACAAAGATTTAGTCGCTAACATTTCTGAACCTTCACAATTTTTGTTACACATCTTTTTGTGGTCTAAACCTAACTCTGACTTTTACTTATCTTGTAAGTCTTGCCTGACTGACGGTTCAAAGTTTTTGAGACACTATCACACTAGTGCCCAAATTTTCCCGGTTAAGTTAGAAAAACAATTTTTCTATACCATAACGGAATATAAAACTGGAGGTAAGGTTGATTTTGTTTAATCTTAGTTGACCACAGATACGTGCAAAAACTAAACACAAAAGACAACCAACTTACTCGTTAATTTAGAGAGGGAGGAAAAGCAACAATCGAGAATGACAGACATCAAACCAATGATGACATACAAAAAAGATTTTATAAGATTTTCCCTGATGATTCCTTTCGTGTTGTGAAACATCTTTTGTTTGTTGGGCGGTTCACGACATTTTGTTGACGATAACGATGGAAACCAAGCCAAATCATCAGCGTAGGGGTCATCTATTCCTGGTCGGTCTGGATGTATAGATCGACGACGATAACTTGGAAGTCGAGAAACACATTCTAGTATGGGAGATGAGTGGTTTTGTACTGGTAACCCATTCATAAAACTTGCAGATAGTTCTTTAGTAGACAAGGGTCTAAAGTAGACATTTGATAGAGATAAAAACAATATGGATAATATAGACACTAAGACTTCATGAGAAAAATGCACGTACAGAAAATGAGGACTTCTTGCTAATAATTATCAAGTACCTATAGCTTTTGTCACTGATCATTCAGAACAGCAGACTGATACTTGGACCACTAACAGGTACGAAATTCGATTTGGGCAGCCAGGTAGTATCACTACCACTCGAAGCTGAGTACACAGAAGTAGTACTTAATAAGTTACATTTACCTCTAACGTACACTCCCAAAAGCAATCTCTATATTTTAATCATTTTAATAGAAAAGGCTTGAAACAAGGTGCTAAGGTACGTGTAATAGAAAAATAAACGGAAAAGAGGATGTTGTAATAGCCTTAAGGACAAAATAGCAACCAACATAGTTTAAACAAGAATACAACCAGGATAGATTTAGTACATATTAGTGGTATATCTAAATGCTTAAGAAGAACACAATAGTAGAAAAAATAGCACAGGAGCATCGCCAGCTTTTAATGTGAATAATTTCTGGTAATTTTCAAGCTACTGGTAGTCATGATATACCGTCTGACAATAACTGGGTACAACTATTCTCTATTTCACGATGGTGCGTCTAAAGATGAACGCGACTGCTTCCCCATTCGGTTCTAGAGTTACCAAATGTACGTCAGTATGGGAATTTTCGGGTGATGAGTCTCATTTATTCTCAAAGCTAGACTAATATTAGTTTTACTTGGCTGTCGTACCTTGACGTAGTGGTCGGCTTTGTCTGTCGTAATGAACCAATCGAGTTATACTAGCTGGAACAATCGTTCCTCAAGGTTCTACCATACCAGATAGGTTGGTTGGAGAGCGATAAGACTAAGAGCAGCAAACCGAAGGTCTGGAGGCGAAGTCGTACTGTTGACTGTGCAGGTGTGACGGCAGTAAGGTTTTTCCTTCAGACAACCAGCATGGCAGCGATGCTGCCTTCCCACAAGGAGAAGTGGGGTTAGAAAAGGTCGACCCTAAAATTGCACACCTCGCCTTATCCCACCGACTTCTGTTTCCGGCATTAACGTCTCAACAAGTACGGAGCTAACACAAAAATTACCCATAAAAAGGTCGTGTGTGACCGACCTTGGGCACTGCGGTCACGCTCTCAGGTCACTAAGACCATCTCTAACCCAATTTCTTTCTCAGGTACCTCCAGAAGAACCCTTCCACGGTGTGGGCAACCGGGAAGTGATAACCGCTTTTATACCTCTAACAGCACTCAGGACCAAAGTATTCATAATCAAACTCCCTCTTCAATTCCTATTATTCCTCCTACATCGACTTTCAATGCTAAACTTCGTTTTTCGACTTCCTCCTCAAGTATCAACGATTCTAGTGCGCAAAACACTGTCCCAGGTCTACTGAAACTACACATTGGAGCCTTCAACGTACGCACCCTATGTCAAATTGGTCAACAGGCCTCCTTGGCTGAAACTCTAGAATCTCGTACCATTGATGTACTCTGTGTCTCCGAAACACACATATAGGATCCTAGTGTGAACATTCACTTGACCTCCCCTCGGCAAAACGGAGAGCCGATGAGATATACCATCCGTGTATCTGGTGGCCCGATGGCTAGTTCTCGTGGACTGTCAAGTGTAGGCGTAGAACTAAGTACGAGTGCGGAACAAGCACTATTAAAGTGGATTCCCATTAACAGTCGTCTGTGTGTTGTTCGACTAAACGGTTTCGTAAGAACTCGGTAGGATAGGGAACTAGGTAGTTGCCTTTTTGTCATTTCTGCCTACGGATCATCGTTGAACAATCAGTTGAGTGGAACTCATCACTATACATCAACTTCATTGATTATGAAAAGGCATTCGACAGTGTAGATAGGAGGACATTATGGAAACTTCTTCGACACTACGGAGTTCCTGAGAAGATTGTCAATATTATCCGGAACTCATACGACGGACTACAGTGCAAAGTTGTGCATGGAGGACAGCTGACAGATGCATTATAAGTAAGGACCGGAGTCAGACAAGGCTGTTTACTCTCTCCCTTCCTCTTTCTTCCGGTGGTCGACTGGATTATGAAGACTTCGACATCTGAAGGAAAACACGGAATACAATGGACAGCTCAGAATCAATTAGACAATTTGGACTTCGCAGATGACCTAGCCCTCCTATCACGTACACACGAACAGATGCAGATGAAAACAGCCAGTGTAGCAGCAGTCTCTGCATCAGTAGGCGTCAGCATACACAAAGGGAAAACTAAGGTCCTCAAATTCAAAGCGAAGAACAGCAATCCAATCACACTTGATGGCGAAACTCTGGAAGATGTAGAGTCCTTCACATACCTAGGAAGCATCATCGATGAACAAGGAGGATCCGATGCAGACGTAAAGGCGAGGATCGGTAAAGCAAGGATCGCATTCCTACAATTGAAGAACATATGGAACTCAAAACAACTTTCAACCAATATCAAAGTGAGAATCTTCAATGCGAACGTCAAGGCAGTTCTACTGTATGGAGCTGAAACTTGGAGAACTACAACAACCACAATCAAGAAAGTACAAGTATTTATAAATAGCTGTCTACGCAAGATACTCAACATCCATTGGCCGGATACCATCAGCAATAGCCTTCTGTGGGAGAGAACAAACCAACTTCCAGCTGAAGAAGAAATTAGGAAAAGACGATGGAAATGGATAGGACATACATTACGCAAATCGTCAAACTGCATCACGAGGCAAGCCCTAACTTGGAATCCTGAAGGGAAGCGAAAAAGAGGAAGGCCAAAGAACACATTGCGTCGGATAATAGAAGCAGATATGAAAAGGATGAATTACAACTGGACGGAGCTAGAAAGGATTGCCCAGGACAGGGTTGGATGGAGAATGCTGGTGAGCGGCCTATGCTCCTTCACGAGAAGTAAGTAAGGAAGCCTACGCTTCCACTGACTGCAACCCAGATGAAGTGGAAGATGACTTTCTGAACTTCCTCAGAAAGCTAAACGTTCAGAAATAGTACTCGTAGCAGGTGACTAATTCTCAGATAGATAGCTTAAACCAAGCAGAAAGACATTTTAGTGGGTCTTTTAGTATTCCGGGTCAGCGAACAGATAATGGTAATCGTCTGCTGCAACTGTGCTGAGACAATCGTTTATTTTTAACAAACAGAAATTTTAAGCATAAGGAGAGACATCGTCTAACATGGCGACCCCCTACACCAAACCAACGATGAACTCAAATAGGCCATATTGCCATCTGTCATCGTTGGAGAGACCCGATAGAAGACTGTCGTCGTTCTTGAATACCTGCATGGACTCCGATCATGCTCTAATATGGGCACTCGCTGGACGCAAAAAAGACCCATTATAACTGAATTGAGTAACGAGAAAACCAAAAGTAGGTTCCAGGAACAACTGAGGTCACACTCAGGTAGTTCTGAAAACGAGGCTGACTCGGATATTGCTTGGATAAATATACAACAGGTGTGGAAACAGCAGTGACATCTATTAATGATTTAAACCACAGGGTTACAAAAAATCAATAGATTTCTTCCCAGTCTACTGCACTGACGGGTTCTCGTAAACTCATCCCTTCACGTTCCGAAAACGATGATGAGCGAAAGCAAATCAGATCTAGGTTAACCAAAAGTCTAAGGGACAACCGTGAGCAGTAGTGAGAAACGAAAATAAAAGAGATGGAAAAGGCAACGGCTGTAGGTAAACCAGACAGCTTTCCGGACTAATGAGGGAAACTGGAATCAAGGAGTCGAGTGTAAGTGAAACTATCTCGGAAAAAGACGACACTTATCCGCTCTCAGCCCAGACGTTTAGAACAATGAGTAGAACACTTTAAGGAGGATTTCAGCTGGCTTTCATCTACCCACCATTCCCAGACAGCCTGAATGGAATATTGAAGTAGGTTCCCCGACTCTAGCTGAAGTTCAAAAGGCTATAGCCAATCTGAAACGGGGAAGAGCAGCTGGTCCATATGGATTGGCTCCAGAGGTCTTTGAGGATGGTGGTCCAGTTTTAGCGATTAGTTTAATATTTTGGCTACAATCTGGGAATTGAACGTAATCCCATCTGACTGGTTACATTCACTGATCGTCCCAATATATAAGGGGACAAAATCATCCTATGATAACCATAGAGGGATTAGTTTGGCTGACATAACATCTAAAATACTGGCCTGAATAATTATCATACGCCTAACTAAGACTCGTGAACTGCAAACACGAGAAAATTAGGCTGGCTTCGGAACTGGTCACGGCTGCATCGACCACATATTCACCATTCGTCAGGTTCAAGAGCACAAACATGCTTATCGGTGTCCGATAATGTTGGTCTTTCTCGACTTAAAAGCAGCACTTGACTCTATTGACCAAGAGGTTCTGTGGCAATGCAGAAGTACACAACTTTGTAAAGGCTGTTTACTCAAACAGTACTAATAGAGTGAAAGCTCATGACGAACTGTCTTGTGATTTGGTGACCTCAGGTGGTGTCCGTCAAGGCTGTCCAATATTTCCATTTGTGTTCAATTTCATCAGATACCTACCACTGGAAATAACATTCTCGTCGACTGAATTTTCGAGCACTGATCACCTTATAGCAACTTACGTGTAATTTAGTTGGTTCACATTTAATTCGGTTAATTCATTTTGTTAACTTATTAACGAACTGAGTCATCCGTAGAACAACAACTTATCTATATCATTGTATCTTTATTATTTTTGCGAATATATGAACATGTATGCTTGCTGCTAGCCTTACTACTAACCACTTAATTGATTCATTCATTTCACTATGTATATATATGTCCATGTTATTCATGTTCATTGTTCTCTCTCGCTTAAGTGTATTTGCTTACTCGTACTCATATTCGCTGACTCACTCGCTTGCCTTTCGGCACAACTCTTTCACGCTTATTTAACGCACCTGTAATTTTGGATATCTGTGTGTGTGATCCCATAATAAACATAATCAACACTTCGTATTCGCCTTCTGATTAATATACCATTGTGGTGTTATCCAGTGACGGTTATCAAGACGTACTGTATACGAAGTTTAAGAATTATATGGAATACCGACCACCACAACCTTCCAGGAGGTCTACTTATCGACTTAGAATATGCAGATAATATAGTCCTGATTGGTGAGGATGCTGATAAAATGCAGTCTTTTGGTAGCACTGAGCAACAATACCAGAATGTCTGGGATGTGTTTCTCCCCCTCTAAATGCAAGTTGTTGCTTCAGGATTGGTCTGCGTCAACACCTGAACTAAGGATAGGGAGTGAAGTAGTCGAACATGTTGACATCTTCACTTATCTTGGAAGTCTGATCAGCTCTGATGAGTTGGTGTCTGACGAAATCTCAGCACGAATTCGAAAAGCTCGGTTGGCTTTTGCCAACTTACGTCACCTATGGCAAAGGCGGGATATTCATCTATCAATTAAGGGACACGTATATCGGAATATTTTAGTAAAGTGTTTTCCATCGGTAATGAGGAACGACCAATGACTCATCGCGACCGTGACGGCTCGCTGATGGATCCGGTAGTCATTGATAAAGATACTGTTTTAAGGCTACTTCAGCATCTCAAACCTGATAAGTCCAGTGGTCCTGATGACATTCATTGTGAAAGCCATATCAGATGAAATTGCTGAACCATTAGCGATACTATTCGACATGTCTCTGAGACAGTCCAGACTTCCTAGAGACTGGAAAGATGCTATAATAAGTCCGGTGTATAAGGCTGGGAGTAGGGATTTAGTTAGTAACCGTAGACTCGTTAGCTTAACTAGTACAGTTGTAAAACTGATGGAGAAAATCATCCGGATAACTGTTATAAACTATGTTGAAGGGAAAAATCTTTTCTCCAGGGCACAACATGGTTTTCGGAAAGGCCTATCTTGCTTGACAAATCTTGTCATTGCACGAGAAGATTGGGCTGCGGCAAAGGTTCGGAATGCCACCTGTGGATGTGATTTTCATAGATCTAAGTAAAGTCTTTGATAAGGTTTCCCACTCTGGTCTTAAATTCAAAGTGGAACGTTTTGGAATCCATTATACAGTCGTCGATTGGATAAGTAACTTTCTCCATGACAGGAGACAAAGGGTAAGGGTTAATGGGGCTCTCCCCTCGTGGGTACCTGTAAAAAGTGGGGTTCCCCAAGGTACAATCCTAGGTCCTCTTCTCTTTTTACTTTATGCAAATGAATTGCCAACTGTAGCAAAATCATCCGTTCTACTCTTCACTGATGACATAAAGATTTGGAGACCCATACATAGTATGTCGGATAGAATAGTATTACAGGACGATCTTAGCTCATTGGTGGCATGGTTAGACAGGTGGTCACTAGAAGTAAATCCTAATAAGAGTGTAGTGATGCAGTTAAATAACTCTGGTGAATCGTATGACTATACACTACGTGGAATCGTGTTACCCAAAGTAAGAAACTATAAAGATTTAGGAGTCATATTAAGCAATGATCTCAAAACGACTAGTCACTGTAAGGCTGCTGCTGCGAAAGGTTATAGGGTATTATGGTCAATTCGTAGGTCCTTCCAGTATTTAGATGATGAAATGTTTCGATTACTGCACCCGATTTATGTGGGACCACATTTAGAATACGGGATTCAAGCAGCGTGTCCTTGTTTCAAATATGAAGCAGATATGCTAGAAAGAGTCCGACGACGAGCTACTAAGATGGTACAAGGTCTATCTGGCCTATCTTATGAAGACAGACTGAGACACCTTAACTCATTTCCTTTATCTTATCGTAGAATACGGGGTGATCTAATATTGGCCTATCGTATAATGAACGATAACCTTGGTATTAACATGTCTTATCTTTTGCTTCCGTCTAGAACCGATCATTTGAGAGGACATTCGAAGAAAGTTCAAGAACCGAGATCAAACCGTTTACTTCTGGAGTTCCGTTTCTCGCACCGAGTAGTGAATTTTCTACCGGAACACGTTATATCAGCACCGTCTGTTAATATATTCAAAACGAGGTTGGACCTCCACAGTATTACAAACAGCAAGGATTAATATAGGTTGATAGACCTCCTATCCTTATTACAGAAGACAGTATTTGCTTTTTAGGCAGGGAGCGATAAAGACTGGGTCAATACTAGTGGGGTGTTGGCAAGCAGCATTACAGTAGAAATCTTATCCATCAAGTCATTTTTATTTGCATCATTTGAAAATAATACACTATATTTCTTTAAGTTTGAAAGACATTGCTAAACTAGCAAAGAAATGAATATTACTGGTTGATAAAATTCAGTGACATATCACACAATTTCAGCAATCAGGAGGAAATGTATTTAAACTTAACGTCCGGTAACTACATACTGATGCATACACTGAATTAAACTTATTTATCGGAAGTTTTATCTACTCGGATACGAGCCATACTATTTGTGTGAAGTCTTGTAATATTACACGCTCGCGAGTATACTGCGCGGCAGTCCCTTCTGTTTTACTTTACGGCAGCGAAACATGGCCTTTAAGAGTAGAAGACACTGGTAAGCTACTAGTATTTGACCACAGATGCCTCAGAAATATTGCTGACATCTGCTGGGATCACCGGGTAAGTAATAATGAGGTTAAACGCAGGGTATTAGGGAATGATGGTAAATCAGTTGATGAAGTTGTGAATCTTCATCGACTGAGATGGTTGGGCCGTGTTACGTATGCCTGAACACCGATCACCACGACGTCCAATGCTAACCGGTGTTGGAGATGGTTGGAAGAAAGTTAGGGGCGGCAAAACCAAAACGTGGCATCAGTGCTTGAAGTCACTAACTTCTAGTCTGAGCCCTGTTGGTAGATGCAGACTACTTGGTTGGGGTCCGCGTCACTATCGTAACCAATGGTTGGAGACTGTGGGTGACATGGCTCAGAATCGATCACAATGGCGTAGGTGTATACACTCTGTGTCTTCCCTTAAACTATGAGATTAAAATCACTTCATATCTTTCTTTCTACGTACTAATTCTTTCTTCCTATACTATATCCTTATATGCAATCTTTCTCTTATATATTACCACCTTTGACCTAACCACTCCTATGAATCCGGTGTTCATCTTGCTGTGCTAATGAGGTATGGCAACCTGAACCGATGCACATATGTGTCTGGTCCTACGTTGTAGCTGACTGACTGACACGCTCGCCAAACTTGAAGCAGATAAACCAGGCTTTGAATATATTACCTAGTGAAGAAGGGTACGTTAAGTGATAAACCATGTGTTAAACTAAGCCACACTGATTATGAGGAATAACGGTACTCAAGTGGCTCTTAACTGACATGTTATAAAATATTTGATGATACAAGAAGTTCGGTGATCATTAGTTTTAATACAAATATGGTTAACGGGTAAGAGCACGGATTTACTTACCGACTGACTAGTATTGAGACATTTTGGTGACCTTACACTCAACATGACGCTATAAAACCTTCCGTATAGGGGCGTTTTCCGATGCTTTACCAAGTTAGGTGCGACACAAGGGAAGCCATTTTATCAGACAACAGTGAGTGGACAAAACGACAGTGGTCTCGATTTATAATAGGTTCGGCTAGTTAAAATGCAGGCGACTAAGTCCCGTCCCAACAATCAGACTTGATTATACTTAAACCGAGCTTTATTGGTCTTTTCATTGACGCATGACGTTGACGAGCTAACACTACAGGCATCCCGAACAAACCCTTCTGTCTTAACCTTTTCAAGTATTTAGCCAAATTCAAACAATAACTGAGAGGGCCTACGTAGTGATTCATTGACACTTGGAGGTGATTTCCTTGGATATCAGTCGACAGTTAAGTAGTGAAACCAAGGGAAGTCACCTTGGCACAGATAAAGATCTGGAATTCATCGAATTTTGGACACTATCATTCTCCTAAAGAAACAGTCTGACCACTATATTCGACAGACATATTTTGGTTGCGACCAGATATTTTTAAAATATGAATATTTACTCCGTAAATTAATGAAAACCACTTACCTCTGTAGTACCTCAGTCGTCTCATATTTCGGTGATTCATGATTATTGTCGGAAATTAAAGTCTGTATTGGTCTACAGAAAAGTAAGCTTTTGCACTCAGTTACCTATCTTCTGTTACGTTGATAAGATTATCTACGACGTTTTGTGGAGTATCCTTTAATAAACTCTCAGAACCATTTGATATGCACTTTTTCAGCTTAGCGATCAAAGTTGCTCGAGTTGATTCTAATTTTCAAGCTAATGTAAGCCAAAGGCTTACCTGTCACTGGTGGAACAACATCTAAATATCTAGACAAAGCTGATCGCAGTTCATCATCGCTGATATTTTCCATCCTGGCCCCAACGAGCACCACTCGACCTACAGTTTTAAAACCTTGACTAAAACTGTAGACTTAAACACCAAGAGCTATGTGATCGTTCTGAGCAAAATAATAGGCGCTCTTGAAATTTCTTTTACTTTCCAAAACGTGTTTCGCTAAAAGTAATGTAGCTACAAGTATGGTAATTACAACAATCTGAATTTTCACTATAAATACACTTTGAACTGTCAAAGGGGAGTCCGTTGTTGTCCTCTCAACCTTGAAGTCGAGTCGGATCATCCTGAAGTGCCGACTTATCATCTCAGTCGAAAATGTCTCTCAAAAGTTTCACATCATCAGCGAAAAGTAAAAAATCGGGCTATACTTGCTGAAGGTCATTTATAGAAATTAGGAAATGAGGAAGTCCTAGTGCTGAACTGTGAGGGACTTCACTAGTACATTCCGTAGCCCGAGAAAAAGTGAAGCTCACTCTGATCTTAGAAAATCGTTTTTTCTATACGGAGTGGGACGGCCGAATAATGGTGACTTGATACCAAACCATTTGAGTTTAATGACAGGACAAATGGGATCGGTCCTATCATGGTATATGACGTCAATTTTTTCTGACCCAAGTCCTTACTTGGAATTCATCTGTCAACTGTCATCCTTGTGCGACTTTGCAGTGCACTCCGTGGTAAGAGTTCCGGATCGTATTGACAATCTTATCAGGAACTCTACATTGTTGAAGTTTTCATAATGTTCTCATATACACACTGTCAAACGCCTTCTCATAATCAACGAAATTGATGTATAGTGACCAATTTCATTCAACTGGCTGTGCGAAAATGATCCGTAGTGTCGCAATTTGGTCTGTGCAAGACTGATCCTTATGGAATCTAGTCTGCTGATCTAGAAGCTGGACGTCTACTGGTCCTTCATCCAGTTCAGCAACACTCTGTTGAAAACGTTTCCTTGTACTGAGAGTAGTGTGATGCCCCTGTAGTGCTCACATTAGCTCAGGTCTCCTTTCTTTGGTACCTTGATGGGGCGTCTTTGTTTCCAGCCCGTCGGCGCTTGTTCTTCCTCCTATTTCTTCCTGAATAGTAGTATATTTGGCTTCAATGATTCAGCTGGTATATTGTCAGACCCTACTGCTTTCCCACTGTTGATTTGTCTGATGGTCATCTTGATTTCTTCGATCACTGTTCGAGCGACATCTATGGGAAGGTTTCTCCGTGCTGCTTTGATGTTTGGTGTATTCAATAGAGCCGGTCTATTCTTGAGTTTCTCGAAGTATTTTACCCACCTGTCCCTCTGTTATTGAATCTCAATGGCTGTCTTTCCTTCTTTGTCCTTGTCTGGTCTCTCTTGTCTGTTATATCTACCGGCTAGCCTCTTCGTTACATCATATCGTTATTCCATATTTCCTTCTCTTGCAGCTTTTTCCGCCGTCGTTGCTGGTTCTCTATTGTATTTCTCCCTGTCTGCTTTAATGCTCTTCATCACTTGCTTGTTTGCTCCTGTGTATTCGGACTTTGCGTTAAATTTCTCTGTTATTGCTTGGCTGTTGTTAATTGCTATCTTCTTGTTCTTTCTTTCTTGAATCTTGTCTAGGGTCCATAAAGAGCACCATTCTTTATGATGATGGCCCAGAACATCATGACACTTTGAAATTATTGCTTCTTTGATCCTTTTCTGTTTATCCTCCATGGTAGATTCTTCTTTCAGTAGACCCTGTGAGGCTTGGAACTACCTTGAATTCGTTGTAATCGTCAATTTGTCAAAGGAAGGTTGTACTGAACCTTTATAATGCTGCCCCCCAGTTGTTCAATGTTTCTTTAGCTTCACTTTCATCCTGGCCACAACCAGGTGATGATGTGAAGTTCTGTCGGCTCCTCTTCCGGTTCTCACATCTTCCACTGTCCTTCGGAATTTTTTATTGATGCAAATGTGATCTATCTGGTTCTCTGTAGTGTGGTCTGTGGAGATCCATGTGGCTTTGTATATGCGTTTTCGTGGGATTATTGTGCCACGTATAAACATTTTGTTGAATGTACATCGATTTGCAAACCTCTACCCACTTTCGTTGCCCTCTCCCAGTCAATCCATGTCGTCCCGTGATATCTTCATGCCTGATGTTGTATATTCCGACTTTGGCGTTTTGATCTCCCATCAGAATGGTGATGTCCTTTGTTGAGCACTTCTCTATGATTGATTGCAGTCGCTCGTAGAATTGATCTTTAACGTCGTCGTTGCTATCATTGGTGGGTGCATAACATTGGATAATATTCATTGTGATCCCCTTCTTCTTTGTTTTGAATGATGCTTTGATGATTTTGGATCCGTAAGATTCCCATCATATAAGTGCATTTCATGCTTCTTTAGACAACATCAAAGAAACTCTCTGAGTGTATGGAGCATTTTCCGCTTCGAGACAGGAGTATAGCAGAATCTCTCCCGTTTCTAATCTTTGTTGTCCAGCTCGGGTCCAGTGGGTTTCGCTGATACCGAGTACTGCCAAACTGTATTTCCTCAGATCCTCTGCTATCTGACTGGTCTTCCCCGTTTCTCTCATTGTTCGGATGTTCTATGTACCTATAAAAATTGTTGCATCGGTTGTTAGAAGGGGCATCGGCCTCGTGATTTCCGAAGAATCTCGGCTTTCATCCTGAGGCGTCATAGTTCTTCCTTCAACTCCCAGGGCAGAGTTTAAATGCTTTAATTTGTTTAACGTAGTTGGCGCTTTTTAGCAGGATTTTTTCTACGGGATGGGGTTGCCGACCTTATGCACAACTCTCCTCCTCTACTCGAGCTTAGGACCGGCAGTAACTCGAGAAGAGCTATAGCAACCGTAAACGCGCAAAGTTATTTGTTAACTTGTTGATGTATCTAGATGAACATTCTACCATATATTTTCACTGATTTTATCTACTGAAGAATTCCTCTTGGCTAACATCTTATATCTAATCCCATGTAAATTATTGTTCGTGCCAGCAAAACTGGCATGTGCCTGCCATATCAGAAGTATATTATTATTGTGCTCGTAGTGTTATTCAATATCCTATATAATGATATTTGTTATATATTATATATATATATATATATATAATACTATATTATTACGTATTTCATTTGTATATCCTTTTTACCACTAGATTTCGATTAATTGATTAACTACTGTTATATTATTAACTATTCTTAGCCTCTTGCTAGTTTATTGTTCATAGTCTCTCCTACTCACAACCATTTTTGGCTTATTCATGTATAATTCTTCTGATTGTACGTTGTAATATGGTCCGGTATGTCCGTATATAAGTTACTTATGCCTGAGACATGATATTTATATGCTGAAGGCTGATTACTGATTTTTGTATCCACAAGCAGAACAGCCAGGAGTTAGAAACTCGTGAACTAATAAGAACACAGATGTTGGCTCAAGGTTATTAGATATGAACAGATTTCAATTGGTGTCGTGTGATATTGGTCAGCAGCCATAAATCGTAACAAGTCATGTGGTTAACAACCAATTATTCTACAGCAGCCCTCTCTGATGAGGGCTGTTGAAGGAAGGGCCGACAATCACCATAATTCTATAGGTACTGAAGGGGATTCTCAAGTGCTACTCACTGATAATTTCAACTGTCGTCTAAATCGTTCTCACTCCTCAACTTCCAGAAGGAATGTAATACGAAGCATACATCTACATAAACAAAAGCGGTCTTTCACCACTTAAATTCACATCTCATGGAACAAGTGGTTCACTGACACCGCATGACAGTTTCAAGTTTGAGTCATGAATGTGTAGCGTGGCGTCGAGTTGAGATTAACTGTGAACACCGCTACCCAGAAACACGTGCCAGACAAATCAGAAGGCGAGGATCGATCGTAACCAGATTTATTTCGTTGGCGATCTCGTGGTATTGAACGAATACCGAGATCGTGCCAAGGAATGGTACAAGTGAAAGCAGAAACGGGAGTACGTGCGAGCAGTACCAAAAACCGCGGAACAATAATGGAAGGTAATGGAAGCACAAAATGGCTACAATTAGCACAGTTAAACAAAAGCACATTAAAACAAACACTGGTACACTTGGTTATAATAATAATTGTTTTTATTAAACCAGTCGTGTTCTCGTGATAAATGTGAGTCACTACAGGAGCCCCCCGCTAGAAAGGGTTTACACTTTCGATAAATAGCGGTTTGAATCGTGGGACTGATCGGCTGACGAGCGATTGTAGGACGGAAAGATTGGCGAACAGGAGAGCGATCGTTGATCGTCGAGTTGCCAACGAAGGTCGTTTTCGGAGAACAGTACCAGGAGCGATGTATTGTATTGATTGCTCGAGTTGGCATGCTACACCAGAGTGGTTTGTATCCAGAATCTGAAGAGGGCGTTCGTAGGGATGCGGACCAGAAACGCTGCAGACGAAGGACGAAACCACGTTGAGCCAAAAGACCAGAAGCGACCGTAACGACCAAGTTCGAGACCAAGCGTGTGTCAAGCGTTCGAAACCAATATATCGACTGAGTACGTTGACAAGAGCGTGGGTGATCAGGCCAGCTTTCGCCAAAGTTGACTGAAGTCGACGGAACCAAACGGAGATGGTCGAAGGCGTGGGCTCAGGAAACAAAAAGAAAATCAAAAAAGAAGAGTGTAGCATGCAAGTAGCATAGGAATATTCCTACACCGTATCGGTTGTCGACTGTGCGACTAATCGAGGAAGCGTACGGGTAACCGTACTCGGCGACCGGAACGTGAGACGGCAGTCTCGTTCGCGTCGCGTGAGCCTGCAATCTCATCCGAAGTCAAGGGCGGCGTGGTCTGCTGATCTGGACGTGAGACTGTCGTCTCGTCCGTAGACGGTGCAGATGACGCGTGCTGTTGACTGGGACGTGAGAGTGAGGTCTCAGTTGTATCTAGCGTGGGACCTGAAGATGGTTTGAGGATCCCGCTAGTAGGTTTACTTGGTCTAGCATTGAATCTCAGGTTATCAGATAGGGCACTGTCATCGACGTGTGCTGGTTTGAGACG